ACCCTGCAGATGTTGGATGCTGCAGATGTTGGATGCTGCAGATGTTGGATGCTGTCTATCATGGTGAACCCTGCAGATGTTGGATGCTGCAGATGTTGGATACTGTCTATCATGGTGCACTAAGATTCCTAACTGGCTGTGATTACCGTACCCACCACTGCACCCAGTATTCACTGGTTAACTGGTCACCATTAACTTCACACAGACTCTCCCACTGGTACATTTTCATCTTTAAATCACTTCTTGGTCTGCTGCCTTCATACATCTCCTCCTACATGTCTCTGCGTGAGTGCAGCTACAGCGTGCGCTCTCAGGACATCATTACCTGCAGTGTTCCCTCAGTGAGGACTGAACTAGACAAAAGGACCTTCTCCTACTCCGCTCCTGTTTCCTGGAATATCTTGTAAAAAGAGCTGAAGCTCTCAACCTTTGACCTCTCTAAGTGGCTTCAAACATCTGTTCAGTTCCAGCAGATGTTCCTGTTTTTAGTTTTATACACCGTCTAATAATCTAGCTGTTTTTATTTTCTTAGTTTCATTTTTTAATACCATTTTATTTCCACTTGTTCTTCTCAATGTGTACACATCTTTCATGAATGTCTACTGTTGTCATCACTCTGTTAAAATCAGGCCTCTCTTGTAAATTATGGAAGTGAACAACAAAGTCCATGCTCAATAATCCACGTATACAATCCAACATTTTTCATTTGTCAACATCTGTCCAGATGACCTGACTGAAAAATGTTGGATATGGAAGTGAATGTGTCTCAATTTTCAAATTAAAATGAATTAATAAAAACGCTTTTCATTTTCAAAATAAAGCTGCATGTTTTGACTCATAAATAAAATTTAAAATAAATCATCCAAACGGCATTTTCATTTTCATATTCAACACTGCTCAGTTTCTAAATGACCAAAGCTTCTCTTGGGACATGGAACGTGACCTCTCTGGTAGGGAAGGATCCTTCAGGAGTCTTCAGGATCCTTCAGGAGTCTTCAGGATCCTGAAGGCTCCTGAAGGATCCTGAAGGATCCTGAGCTTGTGCGTGAGGTTGAGAGGCACCAACTAGATCTAGTCGAGGTCTCGGCTCCTCTGCTGCCTCAGAGGAGGAGCTGGCTGCATGCGGGGGAGGAGCTGCCACTGACGTGGCTCCTGCGCCGCTTGGAATTATTAATTCTAACAAATTTATGGAACAGTTTCTGTGGGGGCAGCACCTGAAAACTAAAAGTAGTTTCCTCTTAGTTTTCTCTGTAGTTGTGTCACAATGATCAGAGCTGAGATGAAAATGAAACAGTTTGGATGATTTATTTTTTATTTCATTTATGAGTCAAAACATGCAGCTTTATTTTGAAAATGAAAAGCATTTATATTAATCCATTTTAATTTGAAAATTGAGACACATTTGCTTCCACAGTAAAAGAGTCCCCGAGGCTCAGTGGGATTAACCTGTAGAATGACAACTACCTGCAGTTAAATGCAAATAAAACTGACACTCTTATTATCGCCCCTGATGATAAAATCCCAGTAATCAGGCAGTATCTTACATTCTTAAATCCTTTGGTAAATAACAATCTCAGAAATTTAGGTGTTGTCTTTGATAGTTCTTTATCTTTGGACAGTCATTGCAAATTGCTAGTTCGAAATTGTTTTTTCCACTTAAGAAACATTTCTAAACTACGAGGAATTGTATCACAGAAGGAACTTGAGATGATTGTTCATGCTTTCATTTCATCTCGGTTAGATTACTGTAACAGCATTTTAATGGGTCTGAACAAATCTTCCCTAGCTCGCCTTCAGTCTGTGCAGAATGCTGCGGCGAGGCTGCGAACTGGAACCCACAGAAGAGCTCACATCCTGTTCTGGCCTCCCTGCATTGGCTCCCTGTGCATTTCAGGAGTCATTTTAAAATTCTGGTTCTAACTTTTAGGGCACTTCATGGTCAGGCTCCCAAATGTTTACTGGACTTTTGAAGCCTCTATGTCCCATCAGGACTTTGAGATCTTCAAATCAAATGTTGCTGATGGTTCCAAGAACTTATTTTAAAACACGTGGAGACAGAGCGTTCCAAGTGGTGGCCCCGAGGCTTTGGAACGCTCTCCCTCTGTCACTGCGCTGCTCAGATTCCATTGACTCTTTCAAAAATTATCTTAAGACTTATTTATTCAGACTGGCTTTTATTTAAATTTTATTTACTTTTACTTTGTGAAGCACTTTGTGATGTCATTGTCTGTGAAAGATGCTATATAAATAAATATTACTTACTTACTTACTTAGAAATAAAGGTTGAATGAATTTTGCTGTTTTGGGTGTAACCAGGACCCTGTGTACATAACTTTGTTCCACCTCATGTACCACATGTGGTGGAAACAACAATAAAGTTCACTTGAACTTGAACATATGGTGGTAGCCATCTTGGATTTTGTCGTGATGGTGACCTTCTAGCATGTAGCCTCATAGCAACATGGAAGTCAGTACGTCAGTGTGCACTGTGCACGGACAGACAGGTGGTTCCTATAAACCCTTGAGGCGCACAATAAGAGGGAAACTTACCTTCAGTGTTTTGATGTGTGTGGCGTCGGTTGATCTAATATAGAAGCTCTTCAGGTACGGCTCAAACATTCCCTGTTTGGAGACAGCTCGTTAGCGAAAAGACTCCAGAACGACTAAAGGCTCATTGTTCTCCACAAGCACTCACCTTCCTCTGGATGGACATGGTGGCTATGTTCTGGAGCACAACAAACTGAACCTCGCTGCAGCAAAGAACAAAAGCAGCATGAGGACATGAAGACCGTCAGACTGGACACACAAGTCTCGTCTCACCTGTGGCTTCTCAGCAGGCGAACCAGGGACTTGGTGACGGTGCTCACTTCATGTTTAGGAGCCAGATGCCAGTAAAGCTGAGCGACGGCCATCACAACCTTAACAGAAGTACAGAGAATACTTTAAAGGCCAAAAACTTGTTTTTTGTCTTGTGAGTTGTAGCCATTTTGTTAAAAGCTTGAAAATAACTGGGAATGACTCGTGGTTCATTTTACCTCACTATCTGTACATATAGAGAAGTCACAGCTATTTTTGTGTTTGCTGATCTCAGTAAGTTGTGTCTGCCATCTTCACCTGGACTGAGGATTGATGATTCCAACAGTTACTGCCCGAGTTTTATCGTAATTTCTGGACTAGAAGCTGCTACATTTTTCACATTCTTTGAACACCGCAGCTTAAACAATGACGCAGTTAATTTCGACTTTTACAGGCTAACGAGCTTCCTACCACCAAAACATTTAGCCTCGTCATATCAGGCCAAAGAAATTACCCAACAGGTCACAGTAGACCAATGAAACTACCAAGTGTGAATTGTGCATTGAAAGTGGAGCTCAGTGGGAGACTTGGATGACTGGCAGCAGGAAACTGTTCACCAAAACTGGCCGCATGCCAAGAGCAACTTTTGCTGAAGTCTGCCAGAGGATCCTGACAGCATGGAGACTGGGCGATATATCGAGTGGAGACTGGGCGATATATCGAGTGGAGAC